AGGATGTGTTAGCTGCAGCAGCAGGAGAGCAGCAGGTAGGTCTCTCTAAACCCTTTTTGGGGCCCCACAGAGACAGAAGAGAGAGAGAAAGAGAGAAAGGAGACAAAAAAAAACAAAAAAAAAAAGAAAAAGAAGAGACAGATAGATAGATAAAGAGACAGAAACAGAGACAGAAACAAAGACACAAAACTGCTGCCTCCTTTTTATTTTTTTTATTTTTTTTTTATTTTTTTTATTTTTTTTTATTTTTTATTTTTTATTTTTTTTTCTCTACCCAGCAGATATCAACACAAACAAAAACAAGCGAAGAAGGGACCCCACGTAAGCGAGGGTTTAGGGTTTAGGGTTTAGGGTTTAGGGTTTAGGGTTTAGGGTTTAGGGTTTAGCAGCGATAATCTCCTAGAGGAGCATGCAGGGGCCCTAAACCCTAAACCCTAAACCCTAAGGAGAAAGGTGTAGGTTTACTGCATAGGGCTTAGGGGTTGAGGATTTAGGGTTTAGGGTTTGGGGTTTAGGGTTTAGGGTTTAGGGTTTAGGGTTTGTGTCTGCGGCAGGGAGCAGCAAGAAGAGAAGCAGCACCCCAAAAGGACAGCGGAAGAGCCTCGACCCAAAGGCAAGCAAATTTATTTTATTAGGGTTTAGGGTTTAGGGCTTAGGGTTTAGGGTTTAGGGTTTAGGGTTTAGGGTTTAGGGTTTAGGGGTGGGGCTATCAATTGAGGAATAAAGGCAGCCTACGTGAAACAGAGAACGGCTGTTGCTGCTGCTCATGCTCTTTCTGGTTGCTGCTGCTGCTGCTGCTGCTGCTGTTGCTGCTGCTGCTGCTGCTGCTGTTGCTGCTGCTGCTGCTTCTGCTGCTGCACAAGAGAAGAGCAACACCACCAATCGTCTCCAAGGGGTCTCTACAACCCTAAACCCTAAACCCTAAACCCTAAACCCTAAACCCTAGATTTCTACAAAACCCTAAACCCTAAACCCTTGGCGTTACCTACACCAAAACCCCTATCTTCTCGAGTGTACATAGGGAGGTTCAATCAATATAAAGGGTTTAGGGTTTAGGGTTTAGGGTTTAGGGTTTCGCTGCTGCAGGAAGAGTCATCAGGCCCCTTGGGGGCCCCCGAGGGGCCCCCCGCAGCAGCAGGTAGCAGCAGCAGCAGGAGAGAGACAGATGCTGCTCAGGGTACAGAACAAGCAGAAGGAGAGAAAATAAAAACCTTAAAGGGGGGCCCCGTGGGGGCCCCCAAGGGGCCCCCCAAACCCCATGGGGCCCCAGTGGGGGGCCCCCATCGCACCCCCAGCATCTCCCCGTCTGCAGCGAGAAGGGGGCCCCCACAGCAGCAGCAGCAGCAGCAGCAGCAGCAGCTCCTGCAGCAGCAGCTCCTGCAGCAGCAGCAGCAGCAGGAAAGGAAGAAACATGCAGCAGCAGCAGCAGCAGCAGGGGCTAATAAGGTACAGGGGCCCCCGCTGCAGCAGGGGCCCAATGTGTTGC